TACGGAGTTCGCGAACGGACAGAATACGGAGAAACCCGCAATAATGTGCTGTGTTTTGCTGGAAACGGTTCGCGTACGGTCCGCATACGATTCCTATTTCAACAGCGCGCGAAAACGGAGAGTCCGTAACGGATTGTTCGCGAATCACCTGTGAACTATTCCAGGAACTCCACAAGTCAATAGAAATTTGTTGAAATTCTATTTTTCGATGCAAATCTTGCTAAATTTTGGTTGAAATTGGCAGATTTTCATGAATGAACGAAACTTCGTCGATTTTTTTTTGATGCAAAGTTTCGGAAAAAAAACTAGCCAGAAAAATAGAAGGGCCCCTCTAATTGAAGAGCCCCTGTAATAGAAGGGCCCTCCGGAGGAACCTTGGAACAATAGAAGGGCCGGTTCTTCTAGTACCGGTTTTACGGAAATAAAAGTAGGCTCAGACCTTGAAAAGTAAGCTTAGAACCCTAAATTAATGTATGCGTAAAAACAAAGCTATCTGAAAGTCAAATTAGAAGTTACTTCAGTTGTTAAAAACAAAACACCATATAAGTTTTTTGAAACTCAATCAATTTCGCGTCTTCTGAATCTTCACAGACGTGACGATGACTACGGAAGAAAAAACAATTTTTCCGCCAGACTTTTTTTGAAAGATTGGCTTTGTGATGAAAAATGTTTGTTGTAGATCCAAATGTATACGAAAAAAAATTTGGAGCGTTTTGAACACTTGCTCTTGAGATGTGCTCATTGGAGCATAAAAGGTATGGTTCAGGAGTATAGCTATAAGTCGGCTCAAAATGATTGCAATTTGTTCAAATTTTGAGAGAATGTGTGTTTTAATTGTTCTACAAATTACATACAAAACGTTGTATTTTGGGAACAAAAAATTTTGCTTGTTTGTTTTACTCGTTTTTGATACACAAAAATGAACAAATTGTGAAAATGTTTTGTTCCCTAACAACAAAGTTTTGTATGTAATTTGTAGTACAATTAAAGACACACATTCTCTCAAAATTTGAACAAATTGCAATCATTTTGAGCCGACTTATAGCCAAACTCTAGAACCATACCTTTTATGCTCCAGTGAGCACATCTGAAGAGCAAGTGTTCCAAACCGCTTCAAATTTTTTTCGGTATATATTTAATCTACACCAAACAAAAAAAGAAAAAGTTAATTTTTAATTTTAAAAACGTGTAGTATATAACAACCATCGGAACATCATCTAACGTGCTCCCGATTAGCCTAGTGGTTAACAGGGATGAATTTGAATCAACCATCGTTGGTTCGAGTTCTCCCCAGAGCCTAGTGGTTTTTGTCAGAGTACAGTAATCGGGGTTAATCGTGAACAAAATACGGGAAATGCCCCCTGGTGTGGGGATACGATCGCGTGGATTGGACCCTTTCTGGTTCACTATAAAAATGATAATAAATCACTCACAATATTAGTCTTGTCACTTGTTTTTCTCTCCTCCTTTTTCCTTCTCTTTAATGAACTGTGCCTCGACGCAAATGGACTTGCTCTCTCTGGCCACAACCGATCATCCATTGATTCGGCAGCAGAGATTGCGGTTCCAGACGCCGATGGTGCCAATGACTCCTCACTGCTCTTCGCTGTCCTCATTGGAACATGCTCGACGTCAGAATCCGAAGACTTTCGGAGAGTGATCGGAGCAGTGGAGGATGATGATCCGGCATCATCGGATATTGGTCGTGTATAGATGTGTTGTACACGGGCCAGGACTCCCGTTTGTATGCCAATGTCAGACATACGCATGCGGCGTTCTTCGTCAAGTTCTTGAACATAAACCTGAAAGTTTGAAATTGGTGAAGTTTGGGAGGAAGGCGAAAGGAAGAATCAGATCTTCCAAACTTCTTATCACATTTGATAAAAGAGATTGATAGAGTAGAAGTAGGGTTAGTAGTAATTGAAAATTAGAGTTTGAATAAAATACATGCGATAGTTGTGCCGATAGTAAAGTGTAGAAAAGTGTGTACAATTTCTGCAATAGTGAAGTAGAAGTGGTGATTCCAGCGTTCACATTCACCTGAAGCCAATCGTCTTCAACATCTCCAGCGCTTTGTTCACACATTTCAATTGTTGCTTGAACTGTTGAAGTACTCATTTCGACTTTGGGTTCGGTGGTCTTCAATGTTTTCTTCTTCTTTTTGAATTTGACGGTTTGGATTTTGATTTCAGAGGATTCTGGAGAGCATTGGACAGCGAACTCATCAGCGACACTATCGGCAAGGCTGTCTGTTGATCGTTGAGCACTAGCTAGTTGCGCTTCCGATTTGCTCTTGAGTCTCTTAACAATTCGCTTTTTGATAACTTTTTTGAACTTCTTTGTAGCTTTTGAAGAAGGATCTTCTGCTGATTTAAGGCTGGCATCAGCTCCATCAGCTTCAGCTTTAGCTTTCTTTTCGATGTCATCTTCAATTTCTTCTACTCCTTCCTTTTTCACTATTCCTCCTTCAATTTCATTTCCGTCGTCATCAACTTCTACTTCTTCATAATATTCTTCTTCTACCTCTTCTTCTTCTTCTTCTTCTTCTTCTTCATCCTCTTCTAGTTCTTTTGGCTCGCTTCCGTCATGTGTCTGCGTCTCCCCATCAACCACTTCCTCATCATCTCCCTCTTCACCAAACTCTGGCGTATAATCGAAATCACTCCAAAGTGGTCCCGCGAAAAATCTTTGTGAAGTTTCTTCCCTTTCGAAACAATCCTCATCGACTTGTACTTCTTTCTCTTCCAAAGCTCCTGGTTCGGTCATTGTGAACGAATGGGAAACATCTAATCTAACTGGAGAAAGATTAATGGACGATGTGTCCACTTCAATTTGACTTTCATTATCTATTTTGAGAATTGATAGTGTTGAGTCATCTTCTACCTGAACAAAATATTAGGGGTTTCTTTTAAATAGGACTGGATTTTGGAGAGAGGTTCTGGGTTTCACTCGTTACAGTTATAATTCAAAATGCTCATCGGTTAGATTTCTAAAAATACCTGACTCTTCTTATTTTTCATTCTAACTCCTTCAGTTTGGCAAGATTTCACTTCGATTTCAATGGAATGTTGAGTCTGAGTTTCGAATGAGATTGGCGTAACTTGGACGTCTCTATCTTCAATTGATAAAGTCTGAAAGAATTGAAAGAGGTTATTTTGTGAATTTAATGATAACAAACGTATTGAGTTTCAGAATCGTGGAATTCGGCTGTTTCTGATTGGGTTATTTGATCTACCAATGGAACTTCTCTAGAAAAAGTCACTTCATCAGTTTGTGTCTCTTGGAATTCTATTGAAAGTTGTTCAGTCTGCGATGTAGAGGCTAATGTGTCTTTCTGAAAGTTTTCTAGTTTTTGAAAAAATTGTATTATGAAGCTTTACCTCGTCCGTCTGCATTTCAATATCTCCGACACTGTGCTGTTCGGTTTGTGATTCAGAAGCAATGGTTTCAACCTGCTCTGTTTGCATTTCGACATCACCAACAACCATTCCTTCAGTTTGTGATTCCGAAGTTGTGTTTTCAGTCTGAAACCACGGTTACTATGATGCAAATTCTCAAAAGACTCACCTGGTCAGTCTGCATCTCCAGATCACCAACAGTCACTTTTTCTGTCTGGGATTCGGAAGTTATTGTTTCAGTCTGAAACGGTGTATGATTTCCTAAATTTCAGTTTTATACCATAAGGCCTGTGATAGAAGCGTTTATGGTTAAAATTATCAGTTGTACACTGTTTGTTATCTGTAACAGGCACCGAGATAAATTGGCTCAAAGTTAAAAATCATTGGGAATTTCTATTACAGGTTTTACAATAAACTCACTAATTCTGTCTGCATTTCTACATCATCAACTATGGCATTTTCTGTCTGCGATTCGGTTACCGATGTTTCTATTTCCGTTTGCACTTCTATTTCTTCTAGATCTAACGTGTCAGTTTGACATTCCACAGGAACAGATTCTACTGAAGGCACAGGAGGAACTTCTGGCTCAACGGCACTCTCAGTTTGACAAATGAACGATCTTGTGTTGGGAGCATCAGTTTGTGAATGAACTGTAGTTCCTTCGATCGACTCTGTTTGGCATGCATCTGTTACCAGAGATGGATCTTCAGTTTGCATTGTGGTTTCGAGATCTGAAAAATTGAAAAATTGAAACTCTGAATTTTAGTATTGCTTACAATCTTTCACGACTGTCTGAACTTCAAAATTCTTCGTCTCTAAAGCTGTTTGACAATATCCATCAGATGTTTCAGCATCTCCTACGAATCTAACGTCTTCCGTCGATGTCGAACAAGTCAGCATCTCAAGTTCAAACGTCTGGCATTCTGAATTTTTCAAAAACAACGGCATCTCCTCCATATCTGTTTTTTCTTCTTTCTGAAGTTTCTCTTCTTCAACTATCTTCGGTTTATCCTCCAAATGGAATGACGTATGCATAGTTTGTACTCCCGCGTTTGTCATAAAGAACACTTCGTTTTCTGATTTCTTGTCTTTATCACTCTCCGATTTCACATCTTCCTCATCACTTGAAGTGCTTGCTGATTCATAAACCTTTTGTGGTAGATGGAATGTACTGAAAGAATATTTTGAATTTGTACGAAAATAAATATTCAAAAAAGGTTACCTGAAAGTAGTTTGTGTACTGCAATTTTTGATAATGTCCAAACTCTTTGGAGTTGCAAAATCTTGCTGATCCACCATCATCTTTGGTTCAGTTTGCATTCCCGCATCAGTGGTATACAGTTCAAGTTCGTCTAGACTTTCAATCTCTTCATCTTCAGAATCTATATGAACTTTTTCAGCGGACGTCGATTCTGAAGTTGTTCTCAAAGATGTGGGTGACAGAGATTCTTGCGGTTTTGATGGCTTTGGTACTTCTACCACTCTTCCAGTCTCGTCAACTCCTAACGCAACCACTGACAAATCCAAACTAATTTCAGCAACTTCTGATTCCCTTCCTGCTTCACTATCCCAATCACTTTCAGAGACATTTGACGCTCTACTCATCTCACTTTCTCTTCTCTTCAGCTTCTGAACTGTTTCTCGAATTCCTTGAAGTTGTTCATGATTGATGCTAGAGAGTTTTGTCTGACATTTTCTACTTCTTCCCTTCACATCGTATTGCGATCCAGAATCCGTTGTAAACACTTCGTATTGAGTGGAACAGTCCATTAGAACAGGAGACGTCTGATTTCCACTGTTCTTCAAGAATCTCAACTCGTGCTCTCGGGACTTTTTGGTCTTCATTCTCTTTCGTTTCTTTCTCCTTTTCTTCTTCTCATGTGTACTTTCTTCCTTACGTTCTTCTTCTTTCTTTTCCTTCTCTTCTGGTTTCACATGAATTACAGTCTCCGTGGAATCGATTGAAGCCGATTTCGAAAACTTTGGTGGTGATAATTTCATCGGTTTGGAAGACGTGGAAGCAGGAGAACTTCTAGCTTCACTCAATGCAGATTCATCATCACTAAACGGTGTTATCTCTATTGGTGGGGATTGTAATCCGAGAGACATCATTCCTGGATGTTCAACTTCAAACGGAAGACTTGTTTCTTTGTATTTCGCCGAGCTTTTCAATTCACTTTCATCATCGCAAGACGAGTATTCTGAGAAATCATCTTCGTCTTCGGATTCAAATGCACTCTCTTCATCTGAATGATCGGATTGCTCAGCACCAATGTAGATAGACGAGACTTCTGGTTGGATTCCAATACTTGTCAACAAAACTATTTCATATTGAGTTCCAGCATCTGCCATCACTTTTTTCGGTTCTTTATTCATTTCATCATCAAAATCCACACTATAATCCGTTTGAATTCCTTCATCAGAACTTTCGGTTTGTGTTTGTGATCCATAATCATGGAACTTTCCCATTGTGGTTCCTGCTTGCACCTCCAGAGATTTAGTAGGAGGAGGAGCAGATGTTTGTGTGACAGCAACGGTTACAGTAGGGCGAGGAGTTGGAGATTGGAAAAAGTCAGTGGATTTGGATAATGGAGTTTGTGTAAGCCTTTGTTGCTCTTCTGCAAACATCTCTTGTGCCTGAATAGAAATTTTTTGAAAATTGAAAATTCAAACTTAAATAACTCACCACATCAATATAGTCTCTAAAATCTTCTCGTGGTGCGTTGGCAAATGCAGGCATTCCAGTTTCAGGGTTGATGTTTGTCAGTACTGGAGGGGGATCGATTCCCTTTTTTGTACAATCCTGTTTGAATTTATCCATCACTTTTGCTCCTTCATTCTTACTGATAAGAGGCATCAGGAATTTCGCTCTTCCTTGAAATCCAGCCATCATTGCTGACGCGGCATTCGGATCACCACTTTTCACAGCTTCCATATATTCTTGCAATAGTTTCTGGAGCAATGCCATGTACATTTGCGCCAACTTCTCTTTAATGACATCTATACAAACAGTGAGCATCGAGAGACCAACTATGACGACACCAAATGTAGCAATCATATATTCTGGATTCGCAGGTGTCACATCACCAAGTCCTATGGTTGTCAGAGAAATGAAGCAGAAATAGAAGCTGGTGAAGAATGTCCAATCTTCAAAGAGACAGAATACAGCAGCGGATAACATAATCCATGCGACCGTAGCAAAAAGAGTCGAGAGCACTGGAGGATCCAATTCCATCTCTTCCTCTTCATCGTCTTCTGGCGTTGAGTTTAGTCGATTTTCTTCCGAACTGCTTATCTGAAAATTGAGTTTCTCGATATTTTCAGTTTTTTTAAAGCTCACAGCAATACTACTGGGTGCTCCATGACTTGACAGTTTCCATTCTTTCATCTTCTTTGCAAACTTTGTGTACCGTAGTCGCTTCTGAACCTCATCTTGCCGGATCACTGTTATTCCCAGACGCACTCCTGATAAATGCCTTTTCATCATAGATATTCAAAAAAATGTTTTTCAAAAAAAAAACTCACCAAGATAAAGCAAGATATCACTCAACCCATTTGTTATTATCTTTATCCATTTCAACAAGAAATTGTTGAGCGAAGTGAGCATCACCAACATTATAGGAATTCCAACAAAAGCATAAACCATTGTGGCTATTTGTCCGGCTCTAGTTTTGCAAGCGATATTTCCGTAACCTAAAAAAGGGTTTCTAAATTTTAGTGATATCAAAATGGCCCACCAATAGTTGTAAAAATAGTTCCAGCATACAGAAAAGACATCCAAAACGTCCAGTCTGTTTCAACAACTGGTTCTTCTAGACCCATATCTTCTTCGAATTTGAGTATCGCATGCTTCCATCGTTCTTCTCTATCATCTCGATTGTCGTAGTAAATTGCTCGGAGGCTGAAAATGATTAGTATTCTCTGCATTCTGCACTAATTGCAAAAAAACTCACTTCAAAACCATCACTTCCCTCGCAATTTTTCTCTGATGGAACCCATCCTCTTTTGCTTCTAAATCAGTTGGAACCTGCATCAAAGAACCCTCATCTCATTTCGAAATCTGCACGTTTACTCACTTCTAAATACATAAATAAATGTGCCCCTATAAATGAGTAGAGTCCGATTATGATGAGCAATTTGAATGTGGAGAGTAACTTTTTTATTGGAGAGCAAAAGAACGAGCAGTAGTACTTGCTGAAGTTTTTCATGATTACTTGGAATTTGTAATAAATAAACGCCTACACTTTTCGTTTGGAGCTTATTGCACTTTCCCGGATCGACGCAACTAGAGAAGTTGGGCGTTCTTCTTCAAAATTGTGCATAAGGTGACATCTGGAATTGAAGGATATTGAACTGAATTTGGAATCTTCTTAGGTTACGTGGAAGAGTTGAATCCTGCCTCGATGTCATATTCCACATCATCCGGGGGGTCGATTTCAATTGCCTGAATTCAGAGAAATTCCTATTGAAGGAAAGTTACCGTAACACCTGTATTAAAAGAGACAGCCCTTCTATTAGAGGTTGGGGAGCCTCTATTTTTACGGTCCTTTTTCAGAATTTTTTTAAAACGAAACAATATTTAGCTTTTTTCAGCAAAAAAGAGTTTTTCAATGAATTGCCGGAAAATGCTTCACTGAAACGTACCCAAAGGTTTGATTTCAAACTACGCATTTTGAAGAGAGCCCTTCTATTTTTCCGCCCCCTCTCAGATGGCTCTTCTATTAGAAGGGGTGTTTCGAATAAATGTTTTAAGGTATTTAAGGTTCATCTGATCCAGAAAAATATTTTTTAAAAAACTGTACCTGGTGTTCTCGGTTTTTTCTGAACGCAACGGTATAACTACTTGTATTACTTCCATTATTTCTATTGAGTAAAAGTGACATGAAACGAGCATGGAATGTGAGATGAGCCGAAGAAAAAACCTAGCGATGATTTGATAGGAAGAAAGTGAATGAAAAGTTTATTCGATCGGATATTGTTTGACTATCCATTTCATTTTTCCTGCTGGCCATTCATTTCTTGATCAAACACACCAACACACTCTATCCTTGGGTGATCCCTTTGATTTAATCGAGTTATCAATTTGCGAAAAGGTTCTAATCTTTTCCATGCTCATCTTCCTCTCCCCGTAAATCTTCCAATTCATTCACAAAAGTTCAAGAGGCAACAGATTTTACGGCTTGACACTCTACGCAATGTATTCAAAACACTTGAGAAGGAGCCTGATTCGAGTTGTTGCGAAAAAGAGAGAAGAGGAAAACTTATGGCCTTGCGTACAGTACTGTTGACATGTTTGTTCTTTCTAAATTAGGAAGCCGCTGTGACGTAATTATAAAAAACATATCAGAAAGTGCAAAGAGCAGTTGCAATAACTGGGAACAGAGGAGTCACTCTCTACAAAACGGTTTTGAAAAAAGGAGAAGATACTTGCAAAGATCAGTTTCAAGAACATAAAGAACAAAAATGGTTACAGTAATTGGATAAAGGTCCCAAACTTACAAAATTATCATTGGACATTAGAAGATGATCACCAACGTGATGAACAATTCACCAGAAATCTACAGCTCCAAAAAAACCAGCTAACTAGAAAACAACACAATGCTGATGGACAACCTCAACGCCTGACGGTAATTGTGAGAGCATAGGGGAGCCCCCCAGGAGCCACACCTAATCAACGACAAGTCAAGAAGAATTTGTATAGAAATAGTGTGTAGGATGAAGAGACGACATACATGTCGCGGCCAGTTGTTGCTCTGGTCATGTCGGAAAAGAGTACTGTTGCGTCGTCGGTGATTTCAAGTGATATTGTCAACATTTCATACTTGATTGAGTGCTAGACGCAGACGCACGACGTGGAATTGTGTCTCGAATAAAAAATGATGCGGAAGTCGGAACAAGGGGGGGGGGGGATGATTTCATTGAAATTGTAGCAAAATTTGTGTATTTCTTCTTCAAGTGTTTCCCGTAAATGCTCTAATAGTATTCTACCACAGGGTGCACTTTGAGATTAATTACTTCGGTTTCTATAAAACATATAAAAATTCGTCAACTAATAAATTGTTTATCATAACATCACTAATATTTCATTAGTGGACAAATTCTTGATATCTCTTGTAGGAAGCGAAATTATTGAGCTGGGTGGGCATTATCGGCGAATTCACAGTGTCCTGAATACCAACAAAGTTGCATATTTTCCTCATTGATTTGAGGCAGCCTAAAATATGCCAAGCAAAAAATGAGTTTATTTTTATACATAGTCCATTTTGTACAAGTTTTTCAAAACAAGATACTGTAAAACCTGCAATAAAAGGGCCCCACACTCTCAAATTTGAGCTCAGTTATCTTAATTCCTATGAAACGTATCAGAAATCTGTCAATTGATACAACACTTCTGAAATTAGGATAACAATTTTTCACTTGACAACTTTTCATATTTTTAACAGGAACCGGAAAAAAATTGGCTCAAAGTTTAAAGTTAGGTGATCTTCTAGGTTTTACGGAACTCAGTTTGGAACCAAGAAAATGGAGAAATTATTAGTGAGTAAAGAATCTGACTACTTCCAGACAGGTACTGTGAATGAAGTTTCATAAAAATTCATTTCCAGACTTCTAACTCTGTTTTGTGCTACGGAATTCGCTATCGAACTATTTCAGATTTTCGAATCTCTTCCTTTTTTTTTTTTTTTCTTCCTTTTTTTTCCAAATTCTTTGTTTTGACGCATCAACTTTTCTTCCTCTCATTCTTCCTTCCATCGTAACGAATTTTGAGCTTCGAATTGTGTTCAAAAGATCTCTGTCAGAAGAAAAGCGATGATTGACACACTATTCTACAAAACTAAACTTCCAAAAAACTTGTCAATTTCACACCAAAAATGAGAAAAAACAAAAGTCAGCAGACAAACATAAAAAGATTAGAAGGGTGGTCCCTAAAATATTTTGGTCAGACATAGCGGATCTTTTTTGAAAATATAAAATTTTTTTTGGGCAACAGGATCCGTGCAATTCGTGATGTGAAATTTTGTTTATTTTTAGTGTTTGTGTACCTAAAACAGTGATTCTTGAACCTTTTACAAGGTCCCCTCTCCGCAAAGTGTTTCTATTTCAATCTTCAATTTCAATTTCAACGAATTCTTTCATTTACTGCTTTGCAAAAAAAATCGGACGGCCATCATTGAAGAACCACGAAACGTGATTCTGCACGTAACGATGCCACTTGCTCTCCCATCAGAATTACTCTTTTTTGTGCTGCTTTTTTTCAGAATTCAGTTGTTTTTGTTCGAGATGCGTTTATCTTTTTATGTTAATTAATCTCATTTTCTTTGGTTTAAAGAGACAAAACAAAACACTCTGCTCTTCCATATTTCTTCTCGTTTTTTCAGTCTCAGACGTTTCTTTTTTTTTTGAATTAATAAATAAAAACTCGGAAGTGTGTTAATAAGGTAATCAAGGAAAAAGTAGAGGACAAGGGTCGAAGTGAGAAGAACATGAAAAAATACACGTCTTCTTTTTCTTCTTCTTCTTTTTCTTCCTAACTCCAGATGATTGACACCGCCGATATTTCGATCCTTTTATTTGTGTTTTTTTCCCTAAATTTTACTAAGGTTATTTTCGAGAATTGGTGATGTCAAAGTGTCGAACGAAGGTTTAAAGTTCGGAAAAAAAACATCCCCTGCTGATCTGTTGTGATCGTTTGGATTCGAGTGGAAAACAACTTTTCACATTTCCAGCTACTAACTGCTTTTATTGCTTTTTTATTTTCAGAGAATTCATTTTGGATCCGTGTATTTGTATTTGTATTTATTGGTACGGTGTGCAGGTCTGTGAGCTAATACAATAGGAATATTTTTGGATCAGTATTTTGTCAAAATGTAGTTGTACAGTGAGATTTTGTTATTTCGAGATTTATAACTGAAATATACAATACCGGCCAATAAGATATACAAAAAGATTTTTTCAGTTGATGAATTCTTGAAAATTCCTTGTTTTTCAGCTATTTCTGAAAGATACCTCTTTCTGGCCATTTCTTGTACTGAAACATGGAAAAACAGATGACTGAAAATTTTGGAATTTTCAAAAGGCTCTGTAAATGCAAAGTTTTTAATCTAGGTCTGTTTTACACCCTACAAAATATTCAAACTGATCGGAAACTTGACAGCCGAGCCCTAGAGTCCTGAAAATGGTCGTCCTAATCTTTCATAGTACTGTTTTAGCGTTTTTTTGGCGAACCGAGAGATAGTTTAGTGAAGGCTATTTGAGAATCTAGGTTGGCCTATGCTCCAAAGATGCTCATAATTTAAAATTGCTTTAAAATTGAAAACTTCGGTAGAAATTTGCAAACGTACCACCCCTTTATGAAAACCTTCTCTTTTTTTACTCATTCCGCTTGAAATACTCTGAGATGAAGAACAAAACATCAAGATCCATTGAGTGAGTTTTCAATGCATTTTCGAACCAGGAAATTAAGTTCGTTTTTAATTGTAAAGTACTTTTTTGTTTTTTTGTTCCTCTCATTTCCTCAGAAAACGATTCCGATCTTTTTGAGTTTTGAATCCCCTCCCTAACCGACCAGCTCATCAGCTCAAATACATGTTTTGAACGGATATAAAATCTTCATTCCAGTCAGATATCCGTTTTTCAGCCCAAAAATAAGTGATTAATTTGTAAACCCTTGCCTTGATTCATCATCATTTGAGATTCCCGTTAAAAACATTCGATATATAACTAGCACCATTTCCGCCTTACATGTCATGTCAGATTCATGAATTTGTGGAGGTGTCAATGTGTTTTTTCTCTCTAGATTAAGACAATTTTAGAAAAAAAGATGAGATCAGACATGTTTTTTATTCCATTCAGAGAATCTAGAAATAGTTAAAAGGAATCTGAAAAAGGAAAAAAAATGGAATCACTTCATTAATGTTCTGTGTACAAAAGGAAGGAATCATTTTATTCAGGATTTCCAGGGTGTTCTTTGAGATATGCACATAACACGATTCCTAAAACCTTAAATTACTTTTTTCCACCTTTAAACACCTTCCGATTCCTCACGAACTTTACATTTTCGTCACCGAACGTTTCAAATTTCCCCTCATATCTTCTTTCCAATTCTGCAAGTGCATTCCGTCCCATAAGGACAGAACAAAAGAAAAAAAACCAGGGATGACAAAAAAAAACGGAAACGGACGGACATAACAGACACATGATTAGCCCATTGGATGTCTTGTTATAAACAGACATATCAACATTTTATGGGAATACATACTCTTTGTACATGAGACACTTATAGACATACTTTCAGATCTTTTTTGCCGGTACTTAAAATTTTTGTTAAAATACTGAGATTTTTTCGTAGTCATGGGTATTTTCTGTTGAATTCTCATGCTGGATAAGCTGGGATAGGTCAATGACCACAAAACTAGTTTAGAACTGTATATTATTAGTTCAGAGTTCCGTTTTTCAATCGACTATACTTTTCAACTTGTTAGGAAGCTTTCCATCATTCAATGACCTTTTTAGATTAATGCTGCGTTCAAAGTTGATTTCCAGGCGAAATTTCCTGGAAAAACGCTGTCCAAAGCTGCCAT